GTGCATGTATAGGTACTGTAGGACTACTCAAAGATGACGTAGGGTCTTGTGTGAGTAAGACGCTTTTTAACTGTTGTAGCTGAAGCATCTGAGCAGGTATATTACTATAGAAAAATGGATTTACCATCAAGTTATTACTATTAGAAAAGCAATATGCATTACTCAAAAATGATGACAAATCGATTTTTTGAATCTCGGTATCTTCAACAATCTTTACGCTTTCAGTACAAGGCTTTGGTACAGTACTAGTAGGTACTAAATTTACGTTGCTGTAGAAAGCCTTTACATCTTCAGACGTAGTCGTACTAGGTATGTCAGATATGGTAAAGCTACTGCTTGTAGAAGGTTTAACGTTTTCAATCTGATTATGAGTACCAAAACCATAGTGAGTAGCTGGTAGAAGGTTGACGTTTGGTTTTTTTTGTAAATTGTGTTCTATCTTTCTTTGCAGTTTCAAACGACGAATCGTCTCTCGGATTCTTTTTCGGTACTTGTCGACTTTGATGCACTGAAAAATTTTTATTACAAAAAATTAAAAATAAATTTTTTAAAAACTTTTGTGATGATTTAGTGATTTACACTGGCCTTGTTTCGACTAAATATTTCTTAATTTAAAAGTTGAATTTTATTCATGTAGCCTTACTCTAACCCTGCCTTTGCCTTTGTTTTGGCCTTTGTTCTAGTTTAAACCTAGACCTATCCCGGGTCTACCATAGTATTACCGTAAGCCCCACTTTGGCCTTTATCTTGTTCCATACATTAGCCCTGTTCTAACGCAACTCTAGCCCTACTCTGGTCTTTACTTTGTTTTTACTCTGGCAGTTATTCTAGCTATACCTTTAGCCCTACCCTAGCCCTACCTACTCTAGCCTTACCCTAGTCCGACCCTAACCCTACGCTTACTTTCGGCTTATCATTCTCTTGCCTATGCCTTGTCTCTTTCCTAGTCTTGCTTTAAGCCTGTAATATCACTATTGTACCCAGTCCTTGACCTGATAGTTAGATCTTTCCTATCTTACCCCTGATGTTGCTTTACTTGAGTCATACTCAAGTCCTACCCTATGCTAACAATGGAAAAAAAACAAAGCTTATTATTATCAAAACTGTAACAAAAACACTGTTACAAGCCGAAAACCTACTTTTTCGCAATCGCATTTCAAAAACGGGCACAGTTTTTGATGATTTTTATAGCGTGTAGAAATACCATGTTGACGACATTTGCCACAAAGTTTTGGTAGTACGGTAGAATCTTCCATGATATCGCTTTGGTGCTGTAAAATATTAACTTTAGTGCTGTATGGTTTGCGTACTATCAAATTTTGCTTATTACTGTAAATTTTTCAAAACAAAAAAATTTTTGAAATATACATTAGTTAAGTGTATCTATAGTAATTATAATACCACGTATGTAATGTAAAAAGTAAGTAAAATCCAAGTAGTATCGACTAGTACAAAAGTATGACAAAGCTTAAAAGATGACAAAACCCTCCCTCCCCTCCTCTCCACTAAACCCAAAAGCAATATACAAAGACTGATGAAATGAGGTGTTTCCTGTTAAAAACTGTTTAGTTATAAAACATAAATGTAGCTGTAATCAGTTTGTGTCCATCGTTGCCACTCCTACCTTTAACACAAACTAGGCGTGTCAAAGCGACGTTTAACTGATAACATTCGATCGAATAATATGACGCCATCATACATCTTTTGAATCATCAAAAGTTAATTTGTAACCAAAAGAGAAACGTCATTTCTAAGTTAAACTTTGGAAATGACGTTTTAAAGGGTTTTGTTGCAAAAGTTGTTGTAAAAGTTGTTGCAAAAGTTGTAGTAAATGTTGTGGATTTCTCTTATACTACACAATTATCATTGATAATTTTGTTACACTGATGTTGATATAGCATAAAGAAAGAAATTTATATTGTTTGCTTAAAAAGGCTTTAACATCAATATAAAATTTTTTGCCCTGGACACTTGAACTTGGGTAGACCAATACAAAAAAAAGTAAAACGTAAGATATATGTACATTCTGAAAGTGATCGGCTTGGCCAGTTGATGTCATGGCGTAAGGTAAATATAGAAATGTTGTAAGTAGTCAGTGTATGGTAATGTAAGAGTAATGTAAGATACGTTTAAAAAAGTGAAAGATAGAGCAGAAAGGAACAGTGATAGTAAGGTAGGAACAGCGTAAGGTAGGATGTAGGCAGTGCAAGGTAAAGTAAAAGTAATGTAAAACAAGATAAGTTCAAAGTGTTAGCAGAGTAAAAGCAGCGTAAAATAAGGTAAAGATAGCCGGCAGGGCAGGGCAGGGCAGGGCAGGGCTTGGTGTCTACCTATACAAAGACTAGTTTAAACCTACAGTAGGGCTAGAAAAAAGCAATAAAACAACAAGTATGATATCATTCGTTTTTGCAATTTAACGGTATTAGGGCTATCCCCAATCATTAATTACAGCAATTTTCAATTTTATCATTTGATAAAAACCCAACTTTTTAGTAGACTATCCTCTTAATTCTAGTCTGTATTGCTACAACTACAAACTATAGCTATAACTTTTTTGTAGCTTTGCTTTATTGTTTCAAAATTAACGTTGATAAAGTTTGTCATCATAATTACAGTAAGAATGATGAAATAGATAGTTTTTTTATTACGATTATGAAGGTTTGGCGGTAATTTGATTAGAGATTACTGTATAGGGCGTAGGCTGTCAAAAAAAAAGTATGATCCACAGAGGATTAAAAAATGCGTTACACGTTTCAATTTTTGATAATTGAAATTGTAAAAATGATAACAGACGTTAGGGACAACGCCCAACACAACTTTTTGTGTAGGCTAACTAATGAATACTATCGTAGTTTTTTGACAATAAATGAGGGGGGGGTACGTCACGGGTTAAAACTATGTTATTCTTGGTGAGAGATAAGATTTTTTAAGATTTATGCTAAGACAAGACAGAGGTAGTTTTAGTTTTAAATTAGGCTTGAGTATGAACTAGATTATGAGTTAACGATAAAAAAAAAGTTATAGCTATGATAGAACTACATTAAGTTTTGGGTAAAGCTAAAATAACCCAAGATACGGCTTGGTAGGTTTAAGTTAAGGCAAAATTAAAAGTTGATTATCAACCTAAACAGGCTAGAAAAAAGCTAAGAAATAGTTAATGTAAGGTGAAGTTTAGATAAAGGAGAGTATACGAGCTACGTTAGGGTGGTTCTGTGGTTGAGTAGGGCTAAGGTAAGAATAGAGGAGTTCATGATTAAGGCTAAGATAAGGATAAACTAAGGCTAAGGTAAGGCAGACTACAGGTCTAGTGTAGAGCTAGAATAGTGCGCAAGCCCAAAATAAAACTAAAGTAAGGCTAGAGTAGGACTAAAGCAGGGCTGATGTGAGGCTAGGGTAGAACTAGGATAAAGCTAGAGAAAACCGAAGACCAGGTAAGCATAGGGAGAGTAAATTTAGGATTATGAGACCAGGTAAGCTTGGGTAGAATTGAATTAAGTTTGAAGTACTGTATTAATCCCCAATTTAAGAAAAATAATTATTAATCAAGTTCTCTCGCCCACTACTATCACATTTCAAACCAAACTCATTTACGGCTTCACCGTTTAACGATATGTCTTTCTTTACCTTCAAAATACCGTACACTCTTTCATAAAAGTATTGTAATCAACCGCCTACACAAAGCTAAAGCGGTCGCTTTAATCAGGAAAAGCTAGGTGTGGTTAGTAATACTCTTATCAAGCACACAAATTTAACTACGCATTTGTGGTTTTAATTAAAACTTTTTTGATTAAAAATCAAAGTTTTGGAAAGTTACAAGGAAGGTGAGGTACAAAACTTAAAGTTTTTTAAAATTTTTGTTTTTATGGTTTTTTAAGGCCTAAGGGGTTAGAAGAGTAAACCAAGAAGGGCAACACGCCTATTTTTTGAATAGTTACTGTAATGTAATTAATGTTTGAGCCAATGTAAAACCTTGGCTTTAGCTTTATTTTTAGTCTTAGCCTTAGCCTTAGCTTTAGTTTTAGAATTAGGTAAGCATTTGCCAAAATTACTTTTATTTTAAATTTACAACGTTTTTTTACTATAGCTTTTGACCGTTTCTTTATAATAAACATATTTGTCAAAACCACAAAATATTGCCTTTGACCGTTAAACTACATAAATACATTTAACTGACTGTAAATAAATGTTACAGCAAGTAAAAGTTTTAACGATGATGAAAAGTTTGCGAAAAAAGTTTTTTTTGTTACAAAAAAAGGTTTTTGAACTAAAAATGTAGTTTAATGATATCATATTTCTCATAATTTTATCTATTTCTTACTTATTTACAGTAACCTTTAACTTTTTGAGCGTTTTCTTACAGCATGTATTTTTTTTGACGTACTTTACCGTGATTTAATCTTGCCGTTCTTTTACGTTACTTTACTGTAGTTTACAGGGTGCGACAAAAGTCCCCGGACAAACTTTACCGGTTGTTTTCTCAATGTTGCGGTTAAATTATTTAAAATTTTTACATTCCTCCCTGGCTTGTCCTATCTTTTTCTACGGTAGATTAAATTTATTTACAATATCATACTTTAAAATACTATTCTTTACCATACCTGACTCAACTACTTATATATTATCGCAAGCCACCTTATTTTGTCTATCCCTACTTTATCCTACTTTATTCTATTATACCCTACTGTACCCTACACTACTTTAGCATACATTACTTTACACAACCCTGCTCTACTCTACTCTGCTATATCTCACCCTACTAAACTTTATCATACTACAACTTATTCTACATATTCTACAGTAAATGAACTTATTATTACCTATCCTACTGCATCTCACCTTACTAAAGCTTACCTTTCCATACTTTACCGTATTGTATTTTATCTTACTATATCTTACTCTATATTTTCTACGACTTACTCTACTATATCTTATCCTACTATTTCTTAATTCACTATATCGTATCCTAGAAAACAGATTAATATCAGTTTATTAAAAAAAGCCTATAAACCAGTAATATCTCTACCAGAGACATGATAAGCATTGTTAACAGCCGGCATTGGTGGCATAAATTCCCTCATGTCCCAAGTCTTGTTCACCATCAATGCCACCTCATCAGCTTCTTCTTTAGTCATTTTATGAATCATTCTGAACTTGTCACACATCTGAAACCGGTAAGGCTCATAGCCAGGCACATCGTCTGTAAGGTAGCCAAACTTTGGAAAGTTACGGTTGAAAAAGTACGGTATGGTACGTCGAAATACTTGAATATTATATTTCTTGTCTTGAATACCGAATGGTTCGTAGTCTTCTAGGTTGATGTTTAGTTGTTTAAGAAGACATTCTTCGCCGTATAGGCCGCCACAAGCGGTTGAGAGAGTTGGACTAAAACAATTTAATTAAATTTTTAATCCTAGTTTTAGCCCAGCCCAGCCCAGCCCAGCCCAGCCCAGCCCAGCCCAGCCCAGCCCAGCCCAGCCCAGCCCAGCCCAGCCCAGCTCAGCCCAGCCCAGCCCAGCCCAGCCCAGCCCAGCCCAGCCCAGCCCAGCCCAGCCCAGCCCAGCCTAGCCCAGCCCAGGCCAGCCCAGCCCAGCCCAGCCCAGCCCAGCCCAGCCCAGCCCAGCCCAGCCCAGCCCAGCCCAGCCCAGCCCAGCCTAGCCCAGCCCAGCCCAGCCCAGCCCAGGCCCTAACCTTAATATTAGCTTAGCACAGCTTAGCGTAATCCATCTTTTTTAGACATGAAAAAAAACTTACATGTTATTAAAGAAATAGTTGATATGAAAAGCAAATCCACCAAAATAAACGCCGAGATGCTTTGATGGCTTTAATGTTGATTCAAATCCGATAACTTTATTGCTTTTCACTAACGGTAGTTGTAGGAAGTAGCTAGTTAATGCTATAAATAAGGATTTTCAAAATTTTTACTATAAATTTTAAAAATATTTATTCCACTCTACCCTGCCGTACCTTACCGTATCCTACCAACTTTTTTTAAATCTCTTACAAACTTTTAAATACAAAAATGGTGACTCACCAACGGGCCAAACCCCAATACGATTGACAGGCCTGACGTAGTGTTCAAAAAAGTCTAGTCCATAAGCATCATTGTCGTTTGCTAAATATACCACAGCATTTTTGTCAAATTTTGCTTGATTTTGCTTGATATAATCAAACGCTGCGTTATATTGAGACCAGCCGGTGCCTGAAAATGGTAAAATACGTTTATTGCGAAATTTAAAAAAATTTTAATTTTTTAATTTTTTTACTTACATGGTAATCCTGTGTTATTTTGAGCAATATAAGCATACGTCAAGTTTTTGTCTTCCAGAGCGTTCTGTACGACCAATGCTGGGCTGTCGTGGTCTTCTACTAGAAGCCAAAAGACGTTTGGTACGTTCATAAGGGCGTAAGCAGTGCTAAATATACGGTACTATATAGTACATCTATATGACGTAACATAATCTACCCTACCCTACCCTACCCTACCCTATCCTACCCTACCTTACCCTACACAATTCTTCACTTACGCAATGATATCAGCTGGCCGATCACTTCTAGCAAAAGTTGGTGTAATCACTATGATTTGTCGATTGTCATTAGTGTTCTTTTGTGGCAATTCGAAGCTGTTGTTAAAGTTTATTTTGGGCAGTTTGATGTAGTAATTAGTACCTTCGATGTTATTTTCTTTACCACAAACATAATATAACGTTAGACTAACAACAACAACAGTTAGAAGTATTAAGCCGTATTTTTTCAATTCTAAAATTACAGTTTTTTATAACTAAATTTTAAATAAATTTTAAAACATTTTAAAAAATTTTAAATAAATTAAAAACTCACTTTGTCTGAAACAATTTAAAACAAAATTAGCCTTCATTTTATTAAACACTCTAATTTTATTTTAGTTTTAAAAGTTTTTGCGCGCGAAATTTGATTAAAATCTTCAAAAGCCTATTGTCAGTGTAATTTATAGGTCATTTCGTATTTATTAAAATTTAAAGTAAAATCACACAAAAGTTTTACTTATAACCACGAGTGAGCAACTTTGGTTTACGGGCGCGGGCCAACAAAAATAGGCACAGCAATCTATACCTGAAAGGGGTCTACTAACAAGGAAAGTACCCGACCTGCCTCGCTCTAATTGACTTCAAAGTTTTTATAAAGAAAGATTGTGTAAATATAAGATCGTCAGCAAAGTGCTAAATGGCGCTTGTTAGCGCAGTGGCTGTGGCGTCGCTCGCTATTCGAAAGGACATTGGCTCGACCCCGTGCACCGCCCAAACCAGGCGCCTTGTGGAATGGGTATTGCTGAGTGCACGGGGACTAACCACATCTATACTTGGCCTACACGAGTATATGATTGAACGCCAGAAGTCTTATGGAGCACCTCACCCACGACTCAGTGACGCGAGAACAGTGTACCCGGGGCACGTCAAGAAAAAACGATTTTGCTTTTGCGTCTTGAACAGATTTTTGGCATTTCTCAAATAGCGGAAAAATATTTTTTCTTCAGCTTATCTTTTTCGAAAATGTCTTTATTAATGCAGTTCCGAGGTTTTTTAAGGATAAAGAAGATAAAAAATGCAACAATTAAGCATCCTTATTAAATAAAAAAGAAGGGAAAATAATTCAGAGGAAGATCCCGTCAAAAAAATTAATGAAAAATTTCTGCATGGATAATATAAAACTGATATCTCTTGATAACTCAAGTTCTACTCCATAGAATCACACGTTCTTAGTATCAAATTATTCCTTATCGTGTCCTTAATCCAACTGTTGCTACCGCTATAGCTGCTCATGCGCTCGTTGCAAAGTTATGATGTATTTTAGAGTTTGGAAAAGCGTATTTTTAATATGAATACCAAATTTTTATTAAGCACTCAAACTCAAAGAGATTTTTTAAATTAGGGAATTGAAGTGTTGCTTTTTAATCGTTATTAAATACTTTTGTGATAACTGCACTTTAACATGTCGAAAAAATATCGCAAAATTAACATACTATTTATTTCCTCTTGTTGCGGAATGCCAAGCGATTTTCTCTGGATAATTGTTTTTCTTTTATTTTTCTTGACGTGCGGGGAGAGGCCCAATTATGGGAAACGTCAGACTTAATAATAGCTCTGTTGGTCTTCATCTGAACCTTGAAGGACCAGTTTGGATAAGTCTTTTGTCAGGCTTTTCTGCAACAGATCAGGCAATCAGGGAAGCGCAACCTTTTTTGGCGCAAAACGTGAGCGAGTCGATTTGGAATAAAGGAAATCATTTATCCAGTGTACCCGCTCACGTTTGGCGCGAAAAAAGTTCAACAGCCAAAACGAAAAAATCTTTGCGACAAAAGAAGTTATCCGGACTGGTCCTTTGAATATCCTTACACATCAGCACTGTACGTTACATTCTACATTCTATATCTAATCTACATATATCTACCATGTTGTAATTGTAGACGCTTGAATATGTAAAGTGAATAAAAAATGGAAATAAAATGGTGCTACTGGTGGTACAAGAAATTTATATAAAAATTATGAGTCGATTCCGAGCGAGGCAGGTTGGGTACATTTTCTGTAAACTAAACTTCTAGGGCCTTATTTTGATCTCTGACCCTCGAGCTCGCACAATGCGGCTTGACTTGTTTCAAATTTGTTTTGGCTTGGCTCAGTGGCCTTTTCTAGTAGTAGGCCGTACTGTTGCCTGTAAATCTTTAACTTTGCAAATTTGGTACACAAGAGTTCGTTCTAAAAGAGTTCGATGTTCAAGGGTTCCAGGTCATTTTTGAAGTCTTTACAGGAGACATTTGTTCAATAACATGAGTATTTATTCCTGGTTCAGTTTGTTGACAACCAATTAGCTGGGTTCATCAGTGACATAAGCTGTAACACTTGTAGTTAGTAATACTATATTACTAATACCATACTCTAGCGTAATATCATATCATTAGGTTTTGTTAATCTCACTTTCTGCTTGAAAATGATAAGTGTTATTTCGTTCTGTCAATCTCAAATTCGCCTGAAACCATTCTTAAACTCGACTTAACAACTACAATTGTAAAGGTTTAATTAGATGGTGGCATTGTTTATGTTCTTTACTTCCAAACAACCTCACACATAAAGGTTGTGTCATTTTGAAAACTCATTTTTTGTTTTTAAATCCATGCCGTCGGCTAAATTATGTGAAGAGTCTGAGAGTTATCGCCATAGTACCCTTGTTTTGATGGCAGAGTTGATGAATGGCATAGTTGCACTTCCTACTATGATAATGTTACTTTATATGGCGTTGAATCGGAATCAGAAATCCGCTACTTCTTCTTCACATTTCAATTTTCATGTAGGTTAAAAAAAGACGTTTTACAAATATGGAAAAGTGATTTTTTAGAGGAGGAGGAGGGGGGAGGGGTGAAGGGAAAAAAGGGGTAAAAAAGGTTTTTTTTTCATTTTTTTATTTTGTTGTTTGCGTTAAAAAATTTTATTTTTCGCTTTTTCCCTATTTTTTTACCCCTCCCACAAGAGGGGGGGGCGGGGGGGGAGGGGGACCTTTGACCTTGGGCGGGGGGGGTCAAAAAATTTTTCTAAAAATCCACAGCGGGGACCACGTTCAATTTTTTCAAAAATTTTTTTTTGAAAGGGTTTCCCCTCCACTCCCCTAGCGCCCGGCCCTGCATACTGTACTTTGCCCTAGCCTGCTCTACGCCACGCTACTCTCTACTGTCTTGCCTTTCCCCTCTTCTTCCTTTGCTTCTTCCCCTAAATTTTTTTTTAATTTTACTGTTCAAAAAAAAAACAAAAAACGCCATTTTTACCAGTTTTTTAAAAAAGATTTTCAAAGCTTTACCCTTTTCCTCAAAAACCAAAGACAATCTTCCCTTACCCTTTTAATTTAAACAAAATTTTTAGCTAATTCAACACAGCGTATGGATAACACTGTTTACGAAAACCGCCTTCAACATTATTAATAGCTTTTTTACAATTTATATTCGTTTATATTACACTGAATACTGTTCTCATATATTCGTGGTGTGGAAATGTGCAATTTTACGTTGGCCTCAGTTGTGGCCAATATTTATTATGGTTTTTATTCATGCTTATGCGTTCTTCGAACGTCTTTTGGCTATGAAACATCAGAAAGATTATGAAAAGCGCGGAAAAGTTGCTGGTGTTATTGGCATTACAATTACGGTATGTTTTATACATTTTTTACTATTGGCGTAATGAAGGATAAAGGGGTAGGGTAGTGTACGGTAATGTATGATAAGGTAGGGTGAAGTAGAGAAAAGTTAAGTAAGGCGCAGTACAGTAGAATACTGTAGTATAAAGTAAGACAGTGTAGAAAAAAGTAAGGTAATTTAGAAAAATATGATACAGCGCGGTACGGTAAGATACGGTCATATAAAGTAGAGTAGAATACGGTAATGTTTGGAAGAGAGGGTAAACCAAAGGACAGTAAGATACGGCGCAATACGACGAGATACCGTAGTATTAAGTAGGGCATGGTAGGGTCGAATTTTTAAATTTTTTTTATTTTAGTGGATATGCATCATTACATTCAATACCTATATCTTGTCCGGATCTAACCAAAACGAAGAGTTACCGTATTGCACTGCTGGTTCGTCGACAACGCGAAATAAAACCAAATGGATGTTTATTATCTTAGTGCCAGCTGAAATCTCCCTGACTCTTGGGGATTTTATATTGTGGTACAAAATCAAAAAGATCAACAATATAAAGTAAATTTTAAAAAGAATTTTAATTTTTAAAAAAATTTTTAAAAATTTTAAATTACCAAAATATTTTAGGGTTTACTCAGACTACAGCTTATCAAACTCGTTTCAAAAATCCGAAAATTATGTGACGAGTCGCTTAATACTGCCAATATCACTAATTCAATCTGCCTTTTACCTGTTCTACTTCATAGTCTTATCAATACTCACATATTTTATGCCATATATTACTGATCCTGTCGTTCTTCGCTCCATGGTTATATCTCTTATGAATGTAAGTTCACTGCCCTGCCTTTGCCCTGCCTTTGCCCTGCCTTTGCCCTGCCTTTGCCCTGCCTTTGCCCTGCCTTTGCCCTGCCTTTGCCCTGCCTTTGCCCTGCCTTTGCCCTGCCTTTGCCCTGCCTTTGCCCTGCCTTTGCCCTGCCTTTGCCCTGCCTTTGCCCTGCCTTTGCCCTGCCTTTGCCCTGCCTTTGCCCTGCCTTTGCTCTGCCTTTGCTCTGCATTGTTTTCTTGCCCTGCTCTGTAATGCCCTGCTTTTCTCGGCCTTACCTTGCCTTGCTTTACCCTAGCTTTTTAAACCCTACCGTACCTTTTCTCACCCGGCCTGTCTCTTCTTTACCTTTACTACCTTACTTTACCCTACACTGTTGTACCCTATAACGATCAAACTGGAGTTGTTTATTTTCAGATCCTAGGCATTGGAGACATAGTATCGTTGGCTGCTTATATATACCAGCTCAAATTTTTGAAAAAAGAAAAGACAATATCAGACAGGGGTACCTATAGAAACCCAATCAAGCAAGGCAATCTATATTTCGAACTGTTTCAAAATCAAATGGCTCAAGGCGAAAGACGAAGAGTGAACTTTCCCAACTATTCGAACAAAAAGCGGCTTATCAACAACTTTGTGTAGGACTTGTGGACATTGTTTTTTATACGTAGCATAACATTATAAATGGCATAACGGTGGGTCCTCCATACGTAGCACGGCCCTACACTTAGAATGGCATCATACATGTTATAGGTCTTTTAGCACCATACATGTTATAGGTCTTCACACTTGTCATGGCAAAGTAAATACACGTTCCTCAACAGCAAAGACTATAGAACATGAGCCGCTTGAGCTACAATTGCTGTTAGCTACAGAATGAAACCCTGAAGTGCACCAACCATGATCATCTTCAAAGAGCATCAAGAGCACTACATTATGAGTTAGAAATTCGAACAGAAGGTCATGACGAATTGATAATTTGACAAGCAGGTTCATTTGGATAGAACTCTTCAATTGTAGCTCAAATTTCATCGAAAAGAATTGCTAATTGACGGAAGTAAATTTGGAATACAATAATTATACAATATCTTGTGCTCAGTACTGTAGAGTGTTTGTAGCTGAACCGGAATAGCATAAACAGTGTTTACTGCCTGGACTTCAACTGTGTAATGTAAAGTTTGTATAAAGTAAAAACCTGTTATTATCCATCTTTAGGTAGATAATAAACTATAAACATATGATAGAAGTAGTAATAATTTACTTACAGTTTTTACTAGGTTCATTATTACAATATCCGTCTGCTTTTATTTTTACATTTAAAAAAAACGTGTAACAGAACTTTTGGTGCACCTGTGAAACAAAATTAGGTAGGGGAGTGTAGGGTTGGGTAGGGTCAAGCAGGTTTAAGTAAAAGCGAAGAAAGTTGGTTAGAATTGAGTAGAAAAAGCTAAGATCGGGGAGGGTTAAGGAGAATAACTTTTTAAATTTTTTGTGAAATATAGAGTCCGTTCCAAAACTGCAAGATTTTCAAATCCACTAAAAGCATAATGTAAACATTTTTAATCATATTTATTACCGTATAATATATTAACAACAACAAGTAACAATAAAACCGTATGTACATTATCGTAAAGTCATCATAAGCAGAATTGGCCACAAAACTGAAATGCCTTGTGCTTCGGACAGTGCCTTGCCTTTTGCTTTGCTAAGGCATGGCAAAGCGCGAAGTAAGAGGCGATCAATGTCATGACTTGTGTCTAAAACTGGTCATAATTCTTTACTTTTCTCTATGTTTTTATAAGTTACAACGTTTATTTGCATAAATGAGGTAAAGACGATTGCATGGCACAAACTAGAAAGTTGTTACGGCAGTAAGACTTATAATTAGGTACAAAATGAAGAGCAAATTACAGTATAATAGACCTGAAAAAAAGCCCAACAAGCCCAGGCTTAGATTAGCCTTAGCCAAGCTTTGGCCCGACCTTGGATTAGCCTTTGTCTAACCTTGGCCCAGCTTTGGTTAACTTTAATCTAGCGTTGACACAGCCTTGGCTTAGTCTTGGCTTAGTTTTGACCCAGCCTTGGCTTAGCCTTGGCTTGGTCTTGGCTGAGCGTTAACACAGCCTTGGCCCAGCCTTGGTTTTGCGTTAACACAGCTTTGGCTTAGCCTTGGCCCAGCCATGGCCTAGCCTTGGCTTAGCCTTGGTCTAGCCATGGCTTAGTCTGTGCTCAGCCTTGGTTCAGTCCTGGATTTCAAACCAAAACCCTATCAGGAATAAGCTCATTCAACGCGTGACAGCTGGAATTCCTAGCCAATTGAGGAACGGGCGTAGTGGCACGATAAGAGATGGTAGATGATCGTTCTCGGATCAAATGTTGAGACTCTTCCAAGCGTTGTCTGAAGCTGATACTCAGTTGTCTTGAGCTGTTGGTTTTGGAGAGCACCGACCGGTCGTAGACGAAGGTGGTTAGGTAGAAGGATTTGAAGGCAAACTGAAATTTAGTGGGTTAGTAAGGTTGTTTTAGGTGGCTTTATTGAGTTTTGAATTCATTTTGAAATTTCAGTTCAATAGGCGGGACCAAGCTCAGCTTTTCCAAAAAAAAATTTTTAAGTTCCATATTTTAAGATCTCCCAAGAACGATCCCCCAGACCGAAGGAGAAATATACAGAACGTTTTAGTCAAACATTCCAATAACAAGATTAGGAACAAGATTATGACAAGTAATTAGCCACTAGACAGATTGTCAATTTAACATGGGTCCTAATACTAAATCTGTTGTTCCTTGTACTCAATGTTAAGTGTTTTTGCATAGATTTTGGAAGTGCTTGAGTATTAGTGATAACACAGTTTGTACTATCATTAGTACTATCACTATATCAGTTATACTGACCCTAGTAATTGTTATATGAAAGTCCCTTTAGCAGTCCTATCACTATCAGTACAACAATCTGTATCTGACTCTTAGTACTACCAACAAAAAAAGCGCGTACACCCAATAAAACTCATCATATATACCCCAAAGCAAGCCCCATACTCAACATACCTGGGCAAAGTAGAGAGCTTTAGTTAACACAGCCAAAGCGGCAGGAAACACAGCCGGCTGCACGAATGGAAGCCCTACGGCAACTCCGAAACGCAAGAAATTTTCCGGGAAATTGAGAAGGATGCAAGAGCCAGTGATCACAAGGAAGCGGTGCAACGACTTTCTCTGAAATGACAATTGGATTAGAGTGGGTAATTGGCGATTAATGAGATGGGGGTGATTAGTGATATGACAATACTTAAGTGGAGATAGTGTTGATATCATAAGTGACTGAAAATGTTTAAGGAAGTGATGAGAAGGTTAGGATAAGGCTGGATATTGTAATATGATAGTGAGTTTTTGGAGGTAGAGTACGGTACGATAAGCTAAGGTAGACTAACGTAGTGTAAGGTAAGGTAAGGAAGATAAGGGTAGGACAATGTAGGGTACACCAGGGTACAGTGGGGTATGGTAAGCAGAAGTAGAGTAAGCTAGGGTAAGTCAAGGTACGGTAAGGTAAGTTAGAGTAAGGTAAAGTACGATAAGGTACTGTAAGGCAAGTAATGGTAAGATAGGGTAAGATATGGTAAGTTAGAGAGACTTAAGGCACGGTAAGTTACGGTAAGCTACGATACGCTTATGTAAAGTAAGATAAGGTACAGTAAGGTACGGAATAGTACGATGGTTTAAGTTAGCGCACGATAAAGTAAAAGAAGATACTGTAAAGCACGGTAGGGTTAGTACAATGACAAAACACGTCCTACAAGACTATGACACTTCAAGCAACAGAACAATCACAAAATACTTACACTCATTTTACGTACCTTCTCTGCTGCTGGTCGATTAATCACAATTTGCAACATAGGATCGGCCAGTCTAGACTGGATCCTACAACACAGTACACTCAAATCCATATACAAAACCAGTATCGTTGGCACGAAGAAGCTCAACACAACATCGGCAATACGATGAGCACGAGCTGTTGGAGTGTAATCTTGGTAGCATGAGTTGGTATCAACATCGTATCTTACTGTAGCGATTAAAAATGAGTTGAACAATGAAATCATGACGAAAGTAATGCCCATTACCATACATGGTAATCGCCATAGTGTGGTGTACTGTAGAGGACGACGTGTGGCTAGGTAACGTAGAGCTGACATTAGCCACCAGCACCACATTGACTGGGTGTAGGCGGTGTGGGCGATGAAGGATATTAGAGGACATAGTACTTTTAATAGAGATGTTGGTAGAATTGATACTAAGTTGGCTGTGGTGAAGTGGGTGATAAGGGAAGCTAGTGATACGAGGTCGGCTACTGACATTACGAACAGACAGATTCCGATTCCATTGCGGTACTGAAATAGTATTGTTTTAAATATGGAAGCTTGCTTTAGTCATCATTTTCAAGTTTTTGAGATTTTGGATGCTCTACAGTACTACCAGTAATACCAATATTTCGTACTGTATACATAAGTTAAATCAGTACCTATACTTAAGAAATTAGTATTTATTATAGTACTACATCTTATAGTAGTACCAATAGTAATAAGTCTTACGTATTTATATCCTCAATTAAACTACTACCGCTTATAAGCCTTATATTATCCATGAATGTACAGTTGGATAAGTGTAAACACGTGCCATTTTTAATCCGTACTACTTCCCAAACATGTGGCGGATAATAGCCTTGTGTTTACAGTTATACCAAGAGTGAATGTGCCAATTATTAAAAATTTTTTTTTTCGAATTGAACGTGGTCCCTCCTGTGAAATTTTTTAAAATTTTTCAGGTTTTTTGAAATGTGAAACCTTTTTTTTGGTTAAGACTGATGCTTTGTGCAAGGCAAGGTAATTACAAAAAAAGCCTTGTTACTAATTTACATTCACAAAAATACTAAAACACAAAGATTGCAGTCACCCCAATTATAACTCATTATAATGTCAAATATAGTGAATTACAGCTAGCAGAACACTTTTTTTCAAAAACAAAGTCATTCACTATACATTTATCTAAGTCCTTCACTATACGTTTACTCTAATTGTGAAATTCTTCTCGAACAAAATTCAATTATCTTCCACATCATGCAATAGCTGCAATTAACCAAAAACAGTGAAACAAAGGGGATACCAGGTAGTGGATGAAAGATTAACACCAGATAAGAGATAATTTTAGGAGCGCTAATTGATATACTGCTTTACATTCTCTTTACGTACGGGTTAATTTGTTAAAGGTTACGGAAATTTGCAATTAGGATTAGCGGACGTTGGCATGGGTATTTTAGTATAAGTTAAAAGGGTATTTTAGTATGCATTGGCAGGGTATTTTTAGCATTTTTTGTTAGTTTTGGGCTTTTGAAGTTAAGGATGTGCTTTAGGAAGTTTTTTTTAAAATGTAAAAGCACCTTAAAAGTAGAGGCAACATAAAAAAACTTCAAAAATTTTTAAAAAAATCCACAGGGGGGCCAAGCTCAATTTAAAAAAAAAAATTTTTACCTTACTCTGCTCTGCCCTACCCTATTTTGCTCTACCTTACAGTACACTAATCTACATTACCTTACTTCATCTTACTGTGACCTGCTGTGCCCTACCCTCCGTACCTTACTCTACCCTACCCTGCTTTACATTTTTAGTCATCAAAATACCCCCTCCCTTCTTTTCTCCTTTTCTACAAACCCACCTTCCAAAAATAGCCAAATTAACCACCTAATAATGCAAATCATAACTAATTTTCAAAAAAAGATATTACAATTGTTTTGCAAATTAATTTTGCAACAAAAAATGCAAAATGGCTTCTATTTCTACCTCAATTTAAATAGCGATTAGTTAAGGAAATAAATACTAATTGCTCGCTAATTAATGATAAATTTCGAAAAATTAAAAAATGACTTTTGAAAGTCAAGAGCCACACTTGGAATGTCATAATAATTGTTTTGGCGGCAGTTTTAATCTATTGAAGTTGAAAAAATAAAAAAAATTTAAAAACTTAAAACTTTTTTTAAAAAAAAAATTTTTTTTGCCAAAAAAGGATTTTTAAAAATCCCTACCTGCTCTGGATTTCGATTATACAGCCGTCGCATTCTATAGATAACAAACACATTCATCGCTGTTCCGACCAATGTGATCATGAAGGCATGGATCAGGTAGATGCCTTGTAATGAAGCAGTCGTATCCGCCGTTGTCCATCCGATTTGCATCATTTTTATTCTAAAATAGGTAAGAAATTACATTAAAAATGCTTTGAAATTATTAAAATAAAAATAAAATTTGAAGAAATAGCAAAAAATCGCGAAAAATGACCAAAAAACCTTGTTTTAGGCATCAAAATCGACAAAAATTTACTTTTTTGAATTTTAAAAATGAAAAATGAAAAAATACTGATACGTAACCAACACAAAAACATTTAGAGATATCCTAGAAACAATTGAGGATATATAAATCTCCGTAAATTATTCAAAAACCCCCCAAATTCTAGATTAATATTATAGTAGACATCAAATTTCCGCAAATTTTTTTTCAAACATTTTTTTTTAATTGTAAAAAATATTGATGACAAGCATACTAACCATATCAAAACAAAAAAATATCTTTCAAGTTCATCCCCGCCCCCCAAAAAAGCAAAAACTTTCACCTCCAATACCCAATAGCTTGTTCAAAAATTCTGAGCCACCTCTCAACTCAAATCTCACTAATAAGTGGCTCAGCCTTTTTTAAACAATCTTATATTTGCCCAAACTCAAAAATCAAAATTTTAATGACATTACTAATAAGAAACCTTTGAGTCATAAGTTGTAAAACAAAAACTTTGAGCGGATTTCAACAAAATTTGACGTAACAAATGCCCTCAGGGTATTGGAGTACAAGCGGATAAGTTAATTTAAATTTTCAACTTGAAAAAGAGAAAGTAATTGAAAAGGGTTTGTACTTTGGTAAAGTTAGGAAAAACGGTTTTCTGGAATTTTTAAAAACTTAAAAATAAAAAATTTTTAATTTTAAAATTTAGTTAAAAATGTTAAATTAGGTAACAAAATCGAAAAAAAAATGTGACAAAAATTGTTTACAGACAGTAATAACTGTAGTAATGCCAAAAATGTGAAAGAAATTCCCAAAGTTTGTGAAAAAAATTAAAAAATTCTCAAAGTTAATGTGATAAACAATGGTAAAATAACACAGTAAAAAGTTACATATAAATATAATATGCCTCATGCTCTAGCCTTGCCCTAGCCTTGCCCTGAGCTTGTCATAGCCTTACTTTCGTCTTATCTTATCCTTACTGTAATCCTATCTTAGCCATGCCCTAGATTTGCTTTAGGCATGCCTGAGCTTTGTGCTACCATTGCCCATCCTTTCCAACCTTTTCTGTACCCATGCCTTATCCACGCTTTGTGCCTACATATCGTACAAACCTTTCCCTAATACCTGTTACAAAATACCTTTTGCTCAGTTAACAATTACCCTACCTTATCAACAAAACAAGTACCAAACTGCCATTTCTAAACCAGTAAAACTCTTAAAACTGTAAAATTGAAAAAACAAGAAATTGTAAATTGAACAAAGTCTGTGAAGCAAATAGAATACTCGGTAAGAAGTGTAATCACACAATTAATCCCTTCATAATCCATCTTTTAAAAAATGGGCGGTCCCAATTTCGACATGAATAATATCCACATACCAAGTTGAACTACCGCAATTCACTGAACTGTAGTCCAAGCATGTTTACATAGTGCTACATGTTTATCTGTTTAAGCTACGGTGTTTACATTAGTTAAGCTACGGTGTTTACATTGGTTAAGCTACGGTGTTTACATCAGTTAAGCTACGTTTATCACACAAAGAAGATAAAGCCAGCTCATGCTGTTTACATACTTTTGGTATTACGAATAGATACATACTCATGGTAATGCTATGAAAGAACACCTTGTTGGTGTACGTTCTTTGTTGTATAAACAGCGTGAAACAATGAGGATTTGGTGAGCATGTGTTTAGAAAATGTGATGACTAAGCAACCGGAAAGTACAGTAGAAGAACAACAACAACGTGTTAGAAACAAACCTATAGTAATACTAGAAAAGAGACAAAGTAGAGCAGAAAAGCAATAACACTAGAGTAAGACAGGAATATAACTAGGTTAAGCCCAATTTCAGCATAGTACAGAGCTACGGGGTATAAAAATATAAAAAATATGGTATTAAAAAGTAAGGTTAGACTAAGGCTAGGGAAAACAAGAGTAAAGTTAGGGTAAGCTGAGTGAGGCTAGAATATAGTCAGGGTAGGGCTCTGGTTGGACAAGAAAAAAAGGTAGGGTCTGGTCCTTCCAGGTAGACATATAGAACGAGCCATACTATCGGACTGGGCCGAGCTTGAGCATAATTTAGGTTGAACTGGGCTTAAAAAATAGGCTCTACCTGGCCCGTATTCTATGTCTGTTTCTAGTTAGGGCTTGGAAAAGCTAGGCTAAAGCTGAGGATAAAATTGAAGTTAAGGCTACGGCCAGGGGCGAGCGGGCATTTTTGGTCTGGGGGCGGAGGTCGAAAAAATCGGCACAGGTAGCTCTTGAAAAAATTTTTTTTTTTTAATTTACAGGAGGGCCACGTTCAACTTTTTTCAAAATTTTTTTTTTGGTCTACCCCGCAGCGCCCGGCCTTGGCTACGGCTAGGGCTAAACTAAATAAAATAATAATCTAGTGGCATAGCTCTAAAATCAATTTTCTGCAAACTAACTTGCCCTTCCTTATTACCAAAGCACTTGTAATTAAAAACCGCCCATCACAATGAATTTAACAATTATAATTACAAGTTGACTAGTCTAAAAAAGACCTACAATTACTTCATTTTATAATATTCTTAATTGCGTTACAATTTTATGCCATTTGGAAATGTAGTCTTGGCAAGTGCTTGAAGACCTACGATAACAGGGCGGTTGTTGGAAATTGTTAGACGAGTACAATCTCATTACTTAATGTACTGTTCTTTAGATTTGACATTTAGCATTACTAAGTGTATGTTTTCAACATTTTAGTATTGCGTAACAAACCAGAATCTTACCCTACTCTACACCGTACTGTGCCGTACAGTACCGTACCCTACCTTACACTACTTCACCCTACCCTATCCTACCCTACCCTACCCTACCCTACCCTACCCTACCCTACCCTACCCTACCCTACCGCACCGGACTCTACCGTACTCTATAAAAGGTAGCAAACTGTAGTACTATATAATACTGTATCCTACCGTTCCGTGCTGTATCCTACCCTAATTTTCCCCACTAACTTTATACTACCGGATCTTACCGTACCGTGCCGTTTCCAACTTTTTTCTGCTTTACTTTACTCTGACATACATTATCGTACTCTACGCTACATTGCTGGCTTACACTACCATAACCTAGCCTGAAGTAATTACATTAAACTTGTAACCGTGTACTTCAATAACGTTTCTTAGTACTCAAAAATTTGGCTCTAACAAGACCTTTTATCAGAATTTTATATTATACCGTATTTTACCCTAACTTACTATGCAAAGTTTTGTTACCCGTTGTTGTTTTGGCAATATGTTGCATTGACATTTCACTACCTTACCTACTCTAATAAAAACTTCTCCTTTACTAATCTAAACACCTCTGTAAATATACAATTACCAAGAACCTTCTTAATTATAATAACGTTCTAAATCGCTCCTAAAAGCTAATTAAATAGTATTTTCCGTTATCTAATTGAGTACTATGTTTAGAAATGTTTGGGTTTTAACATGTTTGAGTTTTGCAAAATCTTTAAATATCTTCCTTAAGCCAATTAGGAGATTGTTTTTGAGCGTCTGAAACTATTTAATATGCAAAAGCAGTACTATTTTTAATTGTTTGAACGTGCAGAATAATATAATTGTATATTAATATAGAGGTGGCAAGTGTAGGCAGTTTAGTCGGAGAAATAGGGTAGGATTCAAAAGAGGAAGGCAGGTCAAAGCAGAGCAAATAAAAAACAGTTTAAAGGCAGAACAAAAGCAAGGCAAAAGCAGGGCAAAAACAGGGCAAAGGCAGGCCAAAGGCAGGCCAAAGGCAAACCAAAGGCAGGTTAAAGGCAGGGCAAAAGCAGTGCAAAGACAGGTCAAAGGCAGGGCAAAGGCAGGGCAAAGGCAGGGCAAAGGCAGGGCAAAGGCAGGGCAAAGGCAGGGCAAAGGCAGGGCAAAGGCAGGGCAAAGGCAGGGCAAAGGCAGGGCAAAGGCAGGGCAAAGGCAGGGCAAAGGCAGGGCAAAGGCAGGGCAAAGGCAGGGCAAAGGCAGGGCAAAGACAGGGCAGCGGGGGTATCTGTTAACTAAATTTTCAGATTTTGTTGTTTATAAGCTCATGAAGCTTCTAGAAAACTTGCCAACATTGTAACACTGTAATCCTGATTCCAGGTATCAAAGCTCGTAAAGATTAGATGTTTTTCAACAAGAAAACAAAATAAATTGGTCATAGACAAAGAGAATTATGCCTACGAAATGTTTGTTGACAGGGCGGATAATGCCTAAGAACACGGGATAATACTGTATTTACCGCATTGGTTTATTCAGCGTATTAGCTTACGTACGATGACTATGTGTTTACTACATTTTTTCCAACATATGCTTGAAGACCCTACTCTACTGTATCTTATCATGCCTTACTTTGTCGTGCTTTACCTTACCGTATCCTACTGTACCGTACCCTGATGTACCTTACCGTACCCTACGTACTCTATCGTACCCTACCGTATCCTATCCTACCCTACCCTACCCTATTCTATCCTACCGTACCTACCTTACCGTCTCCAACCGTATCCAACCGTACCCTACCTTACCGTATCCTATTGTAGCCTGCCGTACCCTACCGTACCTTACTATACTCTACCCCACCATATCTTAATTTACACCTTACTGTCTGTTATACCCCACTTTATATTGTTCTACCGTAACTTACTTTACTCTACCCTACCCTATCCTACTTTACACTAGTTTACTGCGACCTACCGTACTTTTAGTGCTCTACCATGCTTTACTCTATCTTATTCTACTCTACCCTACTCTGTTTTATATTATTCTACATTGCATTCTCTATCCTAACTTCGTATTATTGTATTCTGTCTCCTACTTTTACTACAACATCTCAATATCTTTGGCAAACCGTCATATGTCTCCACAATTATCGTACTCTCTAAAATTGTTAAGAAAATTAAAAAAA